GGGCAGGGGAGGAGCGGCGGCTCAGGCCCAGGGGACCCCCCCACCCCCGGGGGCTCTGCGGGGCCCGTCGAGGCCCAGGCTGGGGACAAAGCAGGGCCCCCCCACCCCGGGGTGTTTGTGGAAAGAGCCCACGTGGCTTCACCTCAGTTACAGATGCCCACAGCATCCTCAAAAGCCAAGACAGACCTTACCTGAGTTTCATAATTAAGAAGCGACAGGGTCACTACAGCTTAGGCTTTTGGCCTTGGCGATTTTTATCAACTTTCCTCATTCAGTATTTAGTGATACGACAAACTACATCTCTACAGCCCGCCTGAGGAATACCGACCATTAATCTCCTTATACATTTGGCACCGAGGATCATCTTTTCCTCCCCGTCTTCGCAGGATAAAGACATTACAAAGGATGAAAAGTTGCTTCAAGCAAGCGGCACAGTAATGCTGCAGCTGTAAAAAACGCAGGGAAGAGTTGTTCCCCAAAAGCAGCTGTAAAATTTCTCATTTCTACAAGAATAGTGTACAGGCAGTTTTCATGCTGCAACATCAAGGTTGCAGGGGTAAATCATGGAAGTACCTTATTGTGATAAGCTTCTCCCCTCTGCTTTTTTCTTCTCTGTTGTTATTTCCACAGGGAGAAGGTAACTTCACTTACTGTCCAGCAACAGGCCTAGCTAAAGGAAATGAGCACTCGGAATTTGCTGGCTGGGCATTTCCATTTCCAGGAGTGTTTCTGGTGGAGGAGTTCATTAGCAAAGATGAAGAATCTGAGATAGTTAAACTGATGGATCAAGATGACTGGAAACCATCACAGTCTGGCCGAAAGAAACAGGTTTGACTTGAGAAGCACATTTGTTCTTAGATCCCTCTGGAAAAGGAAAGCTGTTTTCAGTTAAAACACAGAACATATGCGATTTTCATGGAATGTTTTCCTTTGGAAGCTTTTCCTGAAATCAGTTGCAAGAATTACTTGTAATTAAAGTCAACTTCTTGCAAAAGTATATGGTAGTTGTAACAAATCATACTTGATGGTGCATGTTCAGGCATTAAAGTTCACAGCGTCTCCAAAATAAGTGGGTGTTTTAGTTTTACTTTACAGGTGAAAAATCTAATTCCAGAGAGATTAACGTAGCTTCACTGAGGCCTTTTGCAACCTGGTGACCAGGTCACTGGAAGAGATGAGAACTCAACAGTCTTGACTGTGAGCCCTGTAGGGATCACAGCCTCTCCAAAAAGACTTGTCTTAGATTTTTCCTTAACACTGCTTTTCCCTCCCTCTTCCAACAGGACTATGGACCCAAAGTGAACTTCAAGAAACAAAGGCTGAAAGCTGGCAGTTTTACCGGTTTGCCAAGTTTTAGTAAAAACATTGTGGCACAAATGAAGACCTGCTCTGTACTAGGCAGTTTCTTACCTGTTGAACAATGTAATCTGGACTACATGCCAGAAAGAGGTTCTGCCATTGACCCACATTTTGATGACTGGTGGCTTTGGGGAGAGCGTCTGGTTAGCCTGAACTTGCTCTCAAAAACTGTGCTATCCATGTCTTGTGATTCAGAGGACAGTATCCAATTATTTTCCACTTGCAGTAAAGAAAATGGGGAATTATGTCCCTCGGGATTGCTTACAGAGACATCAGCATGCAAACATTCAGGTGAAGAGGGAACCAACTGCATTTTATCCCCAAGCCTTGTTCCAAGTAAAGACGTGACTGTTGCCATTGAGTTACCCCGAAGGTCTCTGGTGGTGCTGTACGGTGACGCACGGTACAAGTGGAAACACGCGATTTACCGCAGGCACATAGAGCATCGCCGAATCTGTGTCACGTTCAGGGAGCTGTCTGCAGAGTTCAGTGCTGGAGGGAGGCATGAGGAACTGGGGAAAGAACTGCTAGAAATAGCCCTTTCCTTTCAAGGAAGACCAGTGTGATAAGCAAGAAGCCGCTGGAATTGCATTTTGTTAGGAAATTTGAAAAATAAGGAACAGAATTTGTACGACTGTTCATTTCTGAACTGCAGGTAAGGAACAGGGTGTGTACAGAGATAAGCCAATCAAATGGAAATTTAAGAAACAGAAATGAGACTACAAGGAAGGGGTGTGATGCTTGTTTCTTCGAAGACTCTCCTGGGCAATGGGAGCTTTTAGGCAAAAGCCAGAAATGAGCTGTTGTGTTCATTGTATCAAAAGGCAAAAAGCAAATAACCAGTTTTTAAATACTTAAATGAAACCAAGAAAGAAAGTTAGAATCATTAAACTGAACTGAGTATCAAACTGCCCTTGGCACAAATTCAGCCCAAGCCCTGCAGCAGATTTTGACCTTTCCTGGCCCATACTCGATACTGTCATGCTGCTGTTAGTGTTGCACTGTGCCCTAGGGACACAACTATCTTCTCACCCACTTCAAATAGGTCCTTTAGAGATCAGCTCTCCAGGGAAGGAGGGTAAGCAAGCATCGCTCCACAGATAGTACAACACACTGAGAACTAATTAAAGTAATTATCCTTTGCTGAAGATTCATGCTCTAACAGTGAGGATTAATCATAAATACCACGTGTGACCTATATCTTCTGGGACTGAGGAGCAGAATTTGCAGAGGGTCGATGCTGACTCTTCTGTGTAGACAGCCTGGACTGAGTTCAGACCAAAGACTTGCACAGACTGTGTTATTTTCTGATAATTTGTCATCTCTGAACCCCGCTGTCAACTCTCAGTAGCAAGAGTCTGATTTTGGGAATAAGCTGGGCAACAGACTGCAACACTGGCGGCTATCATTTTTTTTCTTGGCACCTCCAGCAGTCAGGTTTGAATCATGACTCGTACCTAAGACTCAAGTAGTCATTTGTAGCAGAAGCTGATCTGCGGCCATCTGTCTGCTCTGAACAAACTTCTGTGCTCTTGAAAATGAAGTTGTGCTGTGAAAGAGGTGTGATCTTTTAATAAACACAGATGTGTCATCAAAACCATTCAGCGCAGTCACACCTACAGCAATAAAACAAAACTTTGCAATGCTGCCTGCTTTTGGTCGGTAAAGAAAGAGGGGACACATATTACGTGGGATCTTGGTGTCCCTCCGCAGGTGTATCCTGCCCTAGCAGTACTTCCTTGGCACACTGCACAGGTTTTACTGTATAGTCATGCACTCGTGCCATAGACACTGCTCCCCATTTCAGGCACTGCCGGAGAGGGAGCTCTTCACCCAAGAAAACAGTTACTAGAAATGAGCGAACCAGTTTCTGTTTAGCCTAGTATTTAAACAGCTGTGGACATTGTCGATGCTGATGATTCCAAGAGGGATCCATGAGCAGGGCTCCTGGGGGCAGTTTTAAATCCCAAACCTCCACCCAGGCCGGCGAGCGGCACCTACGAGCTCCTGCAGCGGCTCTGGCAGACACCACACGCTCCCTCTGACGGAACCCATCACGGCCAATGCAGCCAGCCAACACGCAGCAGGCAGGCCACACTTGTTCCACAGCCAGCTTTATCCCAGGAATTTTCTCACAGGCTACCAGCCCACTCCCAAAAGCAGGTCCTCGTGCTCTCAAAACAGCAGTTTCTAACCTTTTTCCAGCAGAGTGGTGTGACCAGCATCGTGCTGCTGCTGTCGGAGGCTTGGCAGCTGTGGTGAGCGTGAGGCCCCCAGACCAGCCCCTGGAGCTGCCGCCGGAGCAGAGGCCCTTGGTCCGGGCAGGAGGATGCTGCTGGCAGCGTGTGGGAGCTCAGCACAAAGCCATGCTATGGAAGGAAACCCAGGGAGCTTCCACAGAGAAAGCGTTGAGCCCTTACCCTCATCACCCGTCCAGCACTAAGCCTCTCCAGCAACCTGCTCGTTGCTCAGCAAACTGCGGCAATCAAATATTTCCATTAATGTTTGGCCCTTATTTTCACTGCTCCCTCTTAGATTTATATTGTGCTTTCAGCCTATTAAAATACTTTCTGTGTGCATACCTGCTGTTTCATTCTCTCTGCAGTGAAAGCAGATGATGGCTTCTGATGAATCAGTGCCACAATAACAAGATACACAATATTAGTTCATTTTGTGCTCTGCATTTGTTAGCTGAGTTTTTCTGCCTTGACTGAACTATGTGGAAAGCTGCTGTTCTTGCCAGAAAATTTCGGCTCTTCCTAGTTGGTACCTTAAATCTGAAAAAATGCTAATAATTAAACACTGAGCCAAAACCTGAGGGCTTTGTCTAGATGTTTTTGAAGTCCAAAACTTAATGTAGTCACTGTGCAGTCATTGCTGTCTGTCTTTTGACATCTTTCTCCTGTTAAACAGTCTCTTGGGCACCATCTTATATCAAAATGCAATTACATACCCATCAGTTTTGTATTACTTTCTAAAACTTTATGTACATTCTCTCCTAAAAAGCCAGAACTGTAGTGCTGCAGAACATTAACAACTGGTTTCAACTGCCAAGTATCATAGCAATCTGAGAAAAGTATAAAGAGGTTTTAGTCTTAATTAATTAGCTCTTAAGAGTAATTTTAGTCACTGTGCTAGTATTATTAATGTAAGAAACTTTAACAGTCTTCATGTTATAGGAATTCCTATCACAGCTCTTTATCTCCTTAGCCAAGATTAGCACTTGTAAAACACATGCCCTTGTTAAAAGGAAGCACATCTAATTGTTATCTACTTGTGTATTTTACAAGGAGGAGGATAATATCTGACCAAGCTTTTTAAAAAAAAGGCAAAACCCCAGTTAACCCAGAGAGGATGCTGGAGGACTTAAGATGCCTTTCAAAAAAAACAAAAAAAAAAAACAAACAAAAAAAAAAATCAATCTGAAATCAGCAAGAAGCATTAAACTAAGCAAGTTTATCCAGTTTCTCACACAGCTGGACAATAACTGAGATACATATATTGTTCTATATTAAATATCATTCATGCAGAGAGAAAACAAGAACAGGCAAAGCTAAAGTACAGAGGTGTTTTTTTTACTCCTAGTGCTCACAGTTGTTACCACTCTGGGCAGAAGGCAGCTCCCAGTTGTACACACAGGTATTCATGGGATCGCTTTCCAACTTCAGCCAGTCAATAATTACTGAACCCACTTTGCTGTAAATGGTTACAGAGGAGACAGCCTGTGACAAGTTAATGGCAAGGTAACCATGCTGGCACAGTTTTTCTGCTATTTGGGGTTGTGGCTTGGGGGGGGCGGTTATTGAGGAAGTTGTCTTAAAAGTAGGCACAAGAAGATAACAAAGCTACAGCAGCAGGGAAACTCAAAGGCCTTCTGTTTGTTTTAAGGCAGGGAAAGAAGAGAAAGGACGTTATGAAATCCCACCGAAAGGCAAGTGGAGAACAGGGAGTGTGAGCAACCAGTCCTGCAGCCAGACAGGCACCCTGCACCTCCATCCCCGGGGCAAGCTGAGACTGCCCGTCCCCGAGTCCCAGCGTCAGGGAACCGAAGGATGTTTGCTCTGTCGCTGCACCTACCCCACCAGCTCTCTATAAACAGTTCCACATATTTGAGCACTTACTGCAGAGTGCGCTCCACCCGGGGCTCTCGCACAGTATCGCTTTCATCTGTCACATGGGTCAGGCCCGGACGGTCAAATCCAACATCTACTACCCTGGTCATAAAACTTCCCCGAGAGTCATTTATCCACCGAAACAACAGGGAGGCAACTACCAGAGCCAGGCCTGCCCCAGGGCGATGTTAAAAATAGGGAGCTCACAGTAAGAGCTGCCACTAACCACAGCAAAGGGAGAACCCGATACTGTCCGGCTCCAACAGCTCCCTCCAGCTCACCTTCATGCCTGGTCTTGACTCTCTGTCTGAGAGGAGAGAAAGGAGTTGCCTCCTAAACTAAGGCAGGTGCCCAGTAACTCTATGAAGCAGGGCTGTACCCCTGTCCTTGACAGCTCCTTCCCCGCTTTAGGGCAGGCAGACAGGGTCCCTCCAGTGCTGGAGCCTGCAGAGGGATTTTTCTGCTGGGCAAAATCTGTCCAAAAAGATCTGAAGGAGGATTCAAGACTCTGGAGCTAGATCGTGGCTGACCCCTGTGGCGAGCCCTGCTGCAGAAATGGGAGAAATGGCCCAAACTGTTACAGAGAGTCACAGCCCAAGGGAGCCAAGAATTAGGGCAACAGACCCCCAAACTCCAGCACCCCAGGGCCCAAGACTGGTACAGAAAGCTCACACATGCCAGGGCAGATCCTCAGCACACATCCCCAGGCCGAAAGCAGGACCCTTGGGGGAAGCATCTCCATGCAAGTGCCGCAGGAACGGAGCCACACAAAACATGGGACACCCCAGGAACAGCAGAGAGGAGACAGGCCAGCACAGACGTGGCCAGGCACCGCAGGTAAACCCAGACGTGACACAGGACGCTGCCAGCCCCGCCAGGACACCAGCGATGGTGTGGAAAGGCAGGCATCTCCACGCTTGACTGATGGGAATCCTGCTGACAGTCACGGGGGCAGCAGCACAACAAGGAGGATTTTCTGGCATGGTAGCACAGAAACACTCATCGGGCCAAGTACAACGGCCCTACTCCTTTACGGATGAGCTCCTGTGGCTGATAGCACAGGCAAACTTTCCACGACACAAGTCTGGACCCAACAGCGGTGAGAATGTAAACAAGTTGGAGGAAGAGAGGCAGGAGCAAGAAAAGCAAATGCTGTTGTTGGGAAAGAAGGAGAGGAGTTACAGCATGAACCTAGAGACATCCCAGACAGCAAAGAGCAAAAATACTCCCATGGGCTTCTCATGGAAGGGAGAACTCGGTGCCCAGTGAGACACAAGAAAAAGCTGCAAGCAAAGATGGGAAAGCACATTATTTTTCTGTTTTCAGTGCATTTTCCCTTGGGACACCACCTCAAACCATACCTCAGACTCCCTGATGGGGTAAGGCAATCCCACTCCAGTCACAGATGCACTGCCTGGAGACTTATCTTGAATCCAAACCCACCAAGTTATTCTACAAAATCAAAGCACAATTTTTGCTGCATTTCACCATTTGCTGAAGTTTATTATATTTTCAAAGAATTAAATGACCAATTTGGCTGTTTCCAAATGAGCTGTGTTGCTTTTGCAGCACCGTATGTGAAACATGAAACTTTTTTTTTTTAAATTGCAAAAATGGCTCAATACTTTCCTCAACAAGCTCCTGAGCTCCACAGGACAGAATCCTATTATTACTAATGTTAAAGAAGTACAGATGAGAGATTTTGGCCTCACAACAGAAATTTTGTTGGTAGAGCTTATCTGTATAATACTTTGGAGAAAACCTCAACTCTGATTTTGTTGTATAAACCTTTATTATGGTAAAAAGAGGAGGGAGAGAGGGCAGACTCCTAGGGAGATCATATAAATCTCATGACCACCCACTTCCCAGAGGACACTCATTTTTTGCATCGTGCATAAGTACAGACCGGTTATTTAGAGCACAAAGATGATTTTCTTTGTTGCACACCAGCCAATATGGTACATGCCAACTGTGGCAAGAACAACAGATGAAAGCCACAGACACAGTGCTAAGCAACTTGTTCAGCAACTTGCATGTAAACAAGAGAGATTAGAGTTGGGTTCCCAAGGCCCTCGCCAGAGAGGAGCATAGGGATAGTCTCACCCTGCTGCACTGGAATTTGCGTGTACTCTCCATTTTGAGAAGCTGCCATTAGATTTCTCAAATCCCAGTGGAATAAGGGACCAGGGTTACATAGAACATTACAAATGTCGCTAATGATTTTAGAAACCTGTAAGGCCTAGGAGACTCTGAAACTGCAATGTTTGAGTGCAGAGCAGGAAACCAGCACAGGATCAGGGCCAAGAAAGTATGCTTATGCTTCTTTCAGCCCTGTGTGGCAGAAAGCCTTACTTGCTCTTAAAAGAGCTGATGATTGCAACACACTCTTTTCCCTCCACAAAGTTACCGTAAATCAGAAAATCATTTTTACAGAAGTTTTCACCCACATGGATGCCATAGAATCTGCAGGCTTCCCTTGCTAAGCAATACAAGTGTCATTTTCTCAGTTGCTGAAAAAAAAGTCAGCTCAAATGAAACATGATAGCTCTTTAATGGCACAAAATTCTCCTGCCGGATCCAGCTCCATCAGGCTCACCACTACAGCTCCAGGTTCCACCAGAGGAGTTGCCTGCTTTGGTGGAGGAAGCAAGCATTCAGTTTTGACAGACACATGCTATAGCTGACAAAACCCCCCAAACAGCTGATGAAATACACAGCACTGGGGCTTGTTCTCTCCATCAAACCAGGCAAAAGACATTGCAACAACACATAAAAGAAGACACAGCAACAGATTCCTACAATATGCTATATGCTGTCATTCCTTACCTCCTTGAAATTTGTTTTTCTAGTCCTTCAAAGTTTTGTCTCATTAAATTCCCTGTCACTGTTCTGTTTTAAGAATGTCCTTGTTAAAACTAAAACACCTGTAAGCCTTCCCTGGGCACTCTTGCCTCTTATAGGGAAAAAACCCATGATCTTGGCATTCATTCAATCTACAGTGACAGATGCTTTCCCTTCCAATCCAAACCATTCTATGATTCTATCTCCAAGGAGACCTTATAGTGGCCTTCCAGTACTTAAAAAGGGACTACAGGAAAGCTGGGGAGGGACTTTTTATCAGGAGGTGTAGGGATAGGATAAGGGGTGAAAATTTTAAACTGACAGAAGGCAGATTTAGATTGGATATAAGGAAGAAATTCTTCCCTGTGAGGGTGGTGAGACCCTGGCACAGGTTGCCTAGAGAAGTGGCTGCCCCCTCCCTGGAAGGTCTCAAGGCCAGGTTGGATGGGGCTAGAGGAAGGTGTCCCGGCCCGTGGAAACAGGGTTGGAACTAAATGATCTTTAAGGTCCCTTCCAGCCCAAACCAGTCTGTGACTCTTCCCAGCTGCCTGCAATTCAAAATTCTACCTCCCCAGCTGTAAAAATATAGTAAGGAATAGCAAGAAAAGAACATAAAAGCTAAGGCTGCTTTCTTTGTGGTTATGTATTTACTGAATACTTGCTTTGGAACAAAGGTGATCAACGCTCACAGTTCCTATCGTGCTTTCCTGGATGTCCTCAAGTCAGCTGCAGATATCCACATTAACCAGCACAGCTCTAGAAACAAGCTGACAGTTAATTGCTGCTGCACTGACAGCCAGGGAGTTCTGACACATAAAACAGGTCCTACACACACACACACACACACACACACTGGCTTTTTGGACTGCTGATGCAGTTTTACTTTTGGCAACAGTATATTGCATTCGTAAAAAATACAGATTTTTGGCTAATTGAACCAATGTTAAGGTAGATAAAGACCTTGAACTCCATGGCAGTGTTAAGTACACAAGTGTGTAGGACCAGGAACAGGCCAGAGACCCCAACATCTGAAACAGCACTAGAACCCACAGCTATATATGGCAGGCAATTAGCGTTTATTTAAGCCTCAAAACAATCCATCACTGCTGCATCTCACCAACTAGCAAAACAGGTATTTTGCTCTTAGCCTTAGCTGAGTGGATTTGCTGGAAGCAGACTGTGCCTCTGTCACACTACTTGCATGCCTCTGTCATGCCCATCTAACTGCACTTTCAGTTTGTGAAGCTCCTCGATCTCTCGGTTGTGGCGCTCCGTTTTGTGCCGAACCAAAGAGCGGTAGAAGTGAATGGTGAAAACGACAAAAATCAGACCAACTGGGACCATGATGATGGTGGAGACCAGTGCTGACTGCCAACCCGCGTGGCTGCTGGGCTTCTCGGCGTTGCTGGTCTCGTTTTTCAGGATGGAGCCCACAGGCAGAAATTTTATCCAGCACAGAAGCACAACTTCCGCAAGAAAAAGGAGGATCCCCAAGACGGTGGAGAAGCCCCAAGCCAGCTCGATGTAGGGATGCATGCGCTCATGCGGGGATTCACTGATGGAGTTCAGGTTGTGGATGTTGCTCACTGCTTCCACATTAGGCAGAATGCAGGTGCTGATGAGAAGGGCAAAGAGATGAACTGCCACAAGCACTGTCGTGCAGGCGCTGAAAGCGATCAGCAGCATCTGGGGGTACTTGTACTGTACCTCCAGCTGCACCTCCACCATGGCAACCTGGGGGGAAACGAACAAAAACCTTGTCAATAGCTGCTAGCTTTCCTCTTTTCAAGGCTTTCCTCCAGGAAAGTATCTTTATTCAGGAAGAGCACCTAAGGTCAAGTACACACTCAAGTGCTCTTCAGAATGGCAGCCTAGATGGATCACTGCTGTTTCCCACGAAGACGTAACACGCAGTCTGCAGCCTGGCCTTTCTGAAGGCTCATCCGCACATTTCTGCGCTGTAGTTTTCTGAAATAACGTATCTCTCCTTGCAACCGTGAGCCATACGAACTGCATCAAACCAAACATGCAGCAGAAGGAACTCATTAGACAACGAGTGGAGCTTGGAGGCAGCTGACAGCCTGCTAGCCCACCCGCCCATCACACGTTCTCCTTCCGCTTACTACTTGTGGCTGCAGTGCAGGAAGTTTTGACTTCAGGCACATAAAGAAAAGCAAAAGCAAGCAGCTCTTCTGGCCAGCGGCCAGTAAGGTTTCACTGCCCCTCGTGGGAAGCACACAAGCTACTTTACAGTTTAAGTTAGACCATAGTTAAAATAGCTGCCTTCTATTCTCAGAACATTGGACATTCATTTTTATTACAAATATGCCCAGATACAAGTTATTTATATCCTCAAATTTATCCCTTGAGATCTAATAACTTACTGATATACTCAGAGGAAGTGGACAGTTACTGGCTTACAGGTGTGCTCAAAACTCAGAAGTCTGTTTTCTCAAAACAACTATCATATAGCAAGTCTCTAAAGCTGTCTGTTTTTTCATTAATCAAATAAAGCTTAACAAGCAGAATAAGCACAAGAGAGCAGGGGATTCTTCTGACATCAGAACTGGAGTCCTAGTACAGGCATGGTTTAGCATGAGAATTTGTAAGATTATTTAACCTACCTGTGAAGTAAAATGGTACTTCTGTGGTGGCATCCCCAAAAGGACTGCAGAAACCTTTTTCCTAATAGAAGTCAGAAAAGCAGCGGAGAAATGTACCAACCATTGCTTTCTTGTAACTTTCTAGTAGCTTGCTTTGGAGCTGCAGCTGCATTTCATGATTTGCAGAGATACTAACTTGCCTGGCAGCAGACCAAACCTCTGGTGATCCCAGGGGACCTGCTGCTCCGGCATGGCACATCTTGCCAGATGCATTAAGGAAAGGAGAAGCCAATGCTTGGATGCCTGCCTCAGGGCAGCGCCTCAAGACCATCATGAGAAGGCAAAGTCCAAACAAGCAGCTTGATTTGGGGAGGGTAGATGGATTTTGCAGAACAGATTAATGATTACTTTATCCAGACTTCACGTGGGACCACTCCTGGGCAGCCATTTCAGGCTCTGTATAATAATCTGCACCATTCGCTCTGGCATTACTTGTTAATAATATTATTTAGGCACTGGGAGATGAGGGGTCTGCTTACGCTCTCCCTGTTGGTAGCCCTGAAAAGGATTAAAGGGGATGGAAGCAAGTACCTACGTTGGCATGACTGCTGCCTTACCTGCATTTACTTTGAAACCATCAGCAGCCTGAATGAGGGGATCCCAGTCAAGTCTGAACACATTTAATAGCAACCAAGATAGAACACGTGTGTTTGTGGTGGCAAATGGTCAGCCTCTACAAGTCCAGGCTTTACACCTACATCAACTGTTTATGATGTTAAGAGACACCAAAAAGACTGTGACAGTTCTTGGACACTCCCAGACTTTTGTTCTGATTATGAAGGTTCACTTTTTTGTTTGCTTTTTGAAGTTTCCCATTTGCAGTTTATAGTAGTTCTTGTATTAGCACAGGATTGGCTTCACCATCTATTGCAAAGTCAATTTAATTAAAACACATTACACATTGCCTTGCATATGTTCTCTCTGCAGTTCCCCTTATAATGATTCAAGAAGCAGACTTATTCTCTGCTGCACTGTTCTGTACAATAAATTTGTACAGTGCTGTGATTGTCAGTCACACCCTATCAGCCAGGAAAAGCTGCAGGTATATTGTTCATTATTGGGTGCTGTAATACCCAGAGACATAGTATTCAACAAGCTGAATAGGAATTGTACCTGCATGTTCAATTTATAGTTTTATATTAAAGCTGAAAGCCTGGCTGATGTCAACATATCAATTTCTACTTGTTATCCTTCGCATGAGCAGCACTTCTGAGCTAATTGGATGTTTCCTTCCAGACTAACCTATTCCCTAGGGCTAGCTTCAGCTGTGCAATGTGATGAATTTTTAACACTGACTGATGGCTCAGTAAGAGGTATTTCAGGGAAAAACATCAACAATCCACATAGGGCAGCAAGTCAGAAAAATAGTTCATTTAATCTGAACAAGTACTGGAAAGGTGAGTGAGTCTTAGCGCTTTGCCCCATAGACTGTCATGTCATTCTCTGACCGGGATAAGAGAAAGAGGACAAGCTGACATAACCCATTTAAAAATCATTAAATACGCTGCTTAGTCTGTAAAACTATTAATATGTCATGTTTGATACAATTACACTGTTACGTGATAACAGCCCCCTTTATTTCAACCTCTTCCCAGAAGCCAGGGTGTCAAGGGCTTGACTTTGCAAGGCACTGAGCACTCTGCCGAGCCACAGAATACTCCAGCATAGGCTTAATTTTAAGCTTGAGAATCACCCTGTTGAACTCTACGCTCACAGGTTTGCTAAAGGACCAAGTACCCAGAACATTTTACAATTAAACTGCAATTAAATTACATGCAATTATGTTTTTTTTCAGTCCAGTATAGCCCAGATTGTCCACAACAAAGGTGAGGCTCATCTTGAGAAATTTAGACCAAGATAGATAATATCAGGCAAAAGGATGACAAATGGCTTAACATAAACCATGTTACATTCACACAGATGGTCTGGCAGCCTGGAAAAACAATCACTCCAGTAGATCTGTTCAGGGGGGGTTTGTTGGTTTTTTTTTGTTGGTTAGGGTTTTTTAATCAAATACATATTCTGTAGCAATTGGACAAGTATTGAGAAGACTGATTAGCAGTAATAGCTCTTATTTCCATCAGGAAAATTATTAAGGAGGTTTCCTAAGATCACTCTAAAATCTCCTTTATCTGCAGTCTCCCTGGGGCAAATGCAGAAGCCCTACAGCCCACCTCCAAACAGACCTGGCACTGGAAAGGACCCACATCCTGATCTGCTCAACTCTCTGCCAGAAATACCAGAGATAGCATCGAGTATGAGGAAGGTTCGCATTATTCTGCAGCCCGTCCAGAAGGAGCTGGATCAAAGCCACCACCTGTTGATTAAATATCTATCAGCTCATAATAATTTTCAGCCAATATGGAACTGACTTGAATCAAACACACTTGACAGGGAAGTAAATAAAGCAATAGCCAAGCCCTATATGACATTTGTTTACATAGTTAAATGCACACAGGGCTTCAGGGAAACTATTTAAGTAACTTCTCTCCTTTCATCAACAGCCAAATAGATGCTTTTATTAGAGAGTAAACATCTGTGTATTAAATACTTGTGTGCCAAATTACCAGTGGAGAAATAACCTGATAGGAATAGATACCTCAGCTTTCACCGAAAGGTCCGTTATGCTCAGCTGAAAAAAACCTTGATAATAAAGAGAATTCCTTATTGCAAAAATTTTTATTACTGATTTCAGGTGTACTTATGTTAAGCTGGTGATTGTAATTAACACTATTTATGTGTTTGTCTGACTTGTGTATTAAACAGTTTAAAGAGAAGTCAAATGGTTAATTTTGTGTTTGCCAAGGGCTTTCAGCAACTTTCTGTTGTGTAAATTGAGAAGGCAGGCTTTGTTTTCAGCTACTGGATTCTGCCCTGCAGTGTGGGTGGGCTGCAAGCCCCCACCCCAAGTCCCAGTGATGCGACTGCACACCCCAGCACGGGCACCTGCCTGTGTAACCACGCTACCTAGATAGATCAGTTCACAACAGTACAAAACTGTTAATTTAATGAACAGCCACAAATGACCAACGCAAGACGCAAGTAACCCAGAGGCACAAAGAGCACGCACATGAGTGGCTTTTTAGAGTACAAAAGCTTCTAGGTGAGTGAGATCTACAGGGGAGCACTCCTTTCTCAAAACAAGGAGGGACCTTCTGCCATTTCAGCACACAAGTTTGGTTACAAACCAACATATGCTGCAAGAAAAATTTTTACAAGCTTTGCTTGCACACAGGCAGTGAGTGGAATCGCAAAGCGACCAAGCACCCTCTCTCCCCTGCTCCTGCTTAACTCCCTGCGTGTGTTTTTCCAACTTCGCTTTGGGTAACCAACTTTGTCGTCCCAGACTGCTGTAAGGTTACGGATGATTTGCATTCTGAGGGATTGGGGGAGGAAAAAGCAGCGGAAGAAGCTAAAATCAAACAAAGAAAGCTATCCAGAAAGTTCCCGAGATCTCTCTTCCCCCCAGCTTCCAAGCTGCAGGATGCATCTTCACATCATGTCCCACTCACCCAGGCACTGCCCTCTGCCTCTCTGCATTCAGCTGACAGACCTCAAGAAAAACCTGCCCTGCCCATTTCCTGAGCAGAAAACCTCCCCCAAACAGGTTTCAATTCTCACTCCCAATCAGCAAGAACCAGAGGGGAGATGAAGAGGCTCCCACAGCCACAGCGTGGCCATGTTTTCCTAATAACCACAGCTCTGACAGGTCTGAGCACCGGACCACTGACTGTCTCCATCTTGTTTATTTGCTTTCTCCTTGACATGTTTTGCCCTATGCAAATAGCTTCCAGATTAACACAGAAGTGCTGCACAGAGGAAAGCAAGTACCAGGGATTATTCCCAACAGACATCACTGACAACAAATATATCAGGTTTGTCTCCCTTCAGGCTACAGAGGCCTCTGACACCAGGTCTGAGCCTGCAGGGCCTCTTCTCACACCTCAGCGTATAACAATCTCCTTGATCACTACACAAACTCCACTCTGGCAGACTGTGACCCAACCTCCACCTTATTTTAAACACCATGACCTGAAAAAACCATACAGAAATTAAGATAATGTTCAGGACGACAGTAACCAAAGGGGCCTGGAGGAGCTCCACACCCAAGTGCAACCTCATGCAAAGGCAACCAGGGATAAAATGCCTCGGGGTCAAAGGAGAGCCCAGGCTCTGTGTATTGTTTAGGATCATGTGCAGGTAGGGGGTTAGTATTTTTAAAGGGCTGACTTGGGAGTGTGTGGGTTGACTGTTAGGCAGCTCATGTATCTCTGCTGCTTTGAGAGAGACAGCCCCAAACTTTTCAGCCAAGCAGAAGTCCCCAGGCAGATGCCTCCTGCCTCTTCAGAAAACAAAAGTATGTCCTGCTTCTTCACAGGAGGAAAAATTTGATTAATACATGATTTTAGAGAATCAAAACTCTAATGATCCAGAAAGTGCTGCCACAAACTAGACATACCATTGCAAACCCGGAGAGCAGAGCAGAGGTTCTGCTGGAAGCTTTCAGTTTGGCTCGGCTCAGGTACAATTTTCTCCATGAAAGGGCCTGAACAGAGTGGTGGTTTGATGTGACCAACTCCAGATAGCTCCGCCGGACCCAGTCCCGATAATCCATGCCTTTTGTGCCAGGTTCAGAGCAGCAAGCAGGAGTGGAAGGATCCACTGGAACGTTTAATTCAGAACTCATGATGAGAGAAATGCTGAGGGAACAAAATAGTCACATTCAGAAGGAGACAGCAGACAGGACAAGAATCAACTACTAGAAAAGCTACATTTAAACAAAGTTGCTCTCAGTCAGTAGAAAAATGATGCACAGAACAGAGAAAGGACTGTCCACAATTGGTAAAAATTATGAGAACTAGGAAAGATTACACAAGTAAACCCAGGAACCACTCCGGCAGGAATTCAGGAAGGCTGCACAGCATCTGGCTTTTCATTTCAAAGCTGGCATCTCAACCTTCCCCTTTAATTCCTCCTTGCTAATAAAAATTTTGTTTTACATAAAGACACCTTGGAAGTAGGGCCTCATCTTATAATTTTGTGTTAAACTGACAATTTCACAGCGCATCATGGATCGGCTCCAAATGCATCTCCATAAAGTACCAAAGTAACACAGGCTAGCATGTTCATGTTCAGGGAGTCACTTCTTGCTCTCTGGAAACCAGTTTTTTTCTGTTAAACCATTGCTCATCATAGCTGAGATGGGCACAGTTCTTCCGCAAGTCTTGCCCAACAGTTATAGAGCTGAATGCTGTGTAGGGTTAACAAATGAAGTTCCCAGTCTTCTACAGTTGGAAGTTAAATTTCTGAACTGCTCACACTCCACTTGTCAGCCACATCTGACCAAAAATCCTGTTCCCTTACTTCTACCGGTGGCTCTTAGCATGGGGAAAGGAAAAGACAATTCCCAGGGGAAAAGAGAACTGCCTTCCAGGTAGTTTCAGCATCTTGAGATTCAATAGATTACACTGAAAGATGTAAGAAAGCAGCAAGACTATTTCAGGTGGTGAAAGCCACAGCTGCCAGCAGAGACAAGTGTGAGGTCCAAACCATCCCCTGCTTACACCGCAGCGTAGCCAAGCTGCTGCCTGGTGATCTCTGTGCCATCCACAGACACAGAAGAAAATTCACTAAATGTTTTGAGGAAAAAATTTCTCAACTCTGACAAACATCTGTAACTATATGTTTAACTCAGCCTTCTGAAGAATGGAAACCATGATTCTCTCATTAATCCCCACACACACAACTTTGCCATCGACCACCACGGCGGCAGCAGGTAGCAACACCAGAGCTGCACCACATGAGACCTTTCTGGCTATAAATACTTACCAGCTCCTAGAAGGAGGAGATGCATGCCCAGAATCACACACAGTGTGGTACTAATTAGTCCCAGCACCACACCTCAAGGTCACAGGCTGTTCACTAGAGAGGAGCCCCAGCCCTGCCCACATGCCCCCTGCTCCACCCAGCTCTCCACGTACGTGGGCCACATGGTGACAGCCAATAAACCCATGTTTGCTGTGAGATGTGAGGAAGTGGCAAAGATAAAAAGGACACCAAGCTGCCCACAACTCCAAATGCTACAACTGAAAAGGAACAAAGCTGTTCTAGGCACAATAACAAACATTAGATTGCAGCAGCAAATAAAGCATTGCAGGTCCTAAGATTGTCTGTTCCTCATGAGCAGAGTGGACTTTCCAGCCCCCTGAGACATAATAAGGATGGCAGCAAGAACACAAGATTACTTCTTCTGGGCAGTTTTTGACAAGGCCACTATTAGAGCCCCTGGAGGATTCCAGGGTGGCTCCTGAACTGCTCAGGAGTTTTCAAGTTATGAAAAAAAAAGGCAAAAAAGAACTTGCACACAACAATAGAACCAGGAACAGAATAACACAAACCTCCCTGCTTGCTCTGTGTTTCCAGAAAAGGCAAGAATCACCTATTTTATAGCAAAGAGGGGAAAAAAAAAAATAGATCTTTCCTCAAGCCTCCTGTGAGGATCAAGAGACAAAAACATTATGTGAGCAGCAAAATGATGAAGCTGTTTCCTGTGACAACATCCTGTGTGGATTCTGCAATGTATAGTGTGGGGTGAACTTGTTCGCTTTGTCCTTAGTTTCCTTAGTTCAGACACTGATGGCCTCTACCCTGCCATTTATTTTCACAAAATACGTAGGAACTTTGTACGTAGGAAACTTCAACCCCTGGGAAAAATTCCATTGAAAAGACAAATGAATTCAGAGGTTACAGAGGGAGAGCAAGAGTACCCAATCACATCTGCTTCTTTCCTTAGAAAAATAAGCTAAAAATACCACAAGGATGAATTTTCACTCTGGAGCAGCTCAAGAGATGTTCCAAAATAAGTAAATAACTTCAGAATAAAATCCATAAACACAGACGTAGCCCAACCCAAGCAGTAACAGGATGGCAAACTCACCTTCCTGGCTACGGACATGGAGGGACTAGATGAAAGGCTCCAAGGGCTGAAACACAAGATCAAAGAAGCATTTTACAGGCACTGTATCTTAAGTAGTTTTACTCTGGAAATGCTTTTCAGCCAGTTATCTGCACCAGGGGAGAGTTATTCTAGAGATTTCACGTTCCTGCCTCGCAGTGTTAAAGGTTTAGGACCCTCGCTCTCACAGAGATAATTTATCCTACAGGGTTTTACCGCACAGGGCTGTTGAGTTTTGGATGGAGAATCGGGACCTCCCCAGAGGACCTCTTCCTCAGCCTAACAGCCAGCTTTGGCCAAGTCCATCCCAGCTGTGTCTTTAGTCACTTCCGTTGCACCACTGATGCATTTGACCCCGCTTCATTCCACACTGCCAAAGACAGAAATCTCTCTGCAATTGCTGCCTCATATCGATTTTGTTAGTCTGCCCAGCACCGTCCTTTGGAGCAGCACGCATCGTGGGGAAAGCCTCCGCTGTGTCTTACATCCCAGCTGCCCCCGTGCAGTTGCAAGCACACGTGTGGGGATTTCTCCACAGCAGGGAACGAAGCAGACGCCGCCGGGGCTGAGATATGTGGATCACCCTCCTGCTGCTGGCATGCTCTGAACAATCACCCGCAGAGCGCTGTCTCAGCGGCACTGTCACCCTCTCTGCCTGGCTTTGAGATGCCGGCCCCTGCCTCAGACCCAGGTTTCTGCCCCACACCCCGAGACTGATCAGTGTGTTTGCACCAGCACCTTTCTCCACTCTATAGTATCGTTCAAGACTCTTCACGCTGTGGCTAAACCTAACCCCAGGCCCCGCTACTCCCTCTTTTTCTGCTACTCTGGGCTCCCCAAGCTCAGGCCCTCTTTGCTATGGGGAACCCATTCCCATGTTTCCTGGCTTGGATCCCCCCAGAGCACCCCTGGGATGTCACACCATGCAGGCAGGGTGTGACCACCCCGACAGCAGCACACCTCAAGGAGGATGGGGATCCTTCCCCGAGCAGGATGTGACCCCCTCACCCCACCACCACAGCTGGGATCCTACTCACAGGGCACCACCTGAGCAGGGGATTTCTCCTTCTCCTTCCCAGCCACCCTCAGCACACCGCGGGCAGGATGTGGCCCCACACATTGAGCAGCTCCCCTCCAACAGCACTCTCAGACAGGGGATCCCCCAGGCCAGGATGAGATGCCTCTCACAGCCAGGACCCTCCTCTCCAAAGACAACCTGGACAGGGGATCTTCCATAGGCAGGATGTGACCTCCTACCACCGGATCCCCGTTCAGCATCCCAAGGATCGCCCGCATCTCCTCGGGCAGGATGGGACCCGCTCCCCCCCACAGCTGGGATGTCCCTTCCAACAGCACCCTGGGTCAGGAGCTTCCTTGCACCACAGGCTGGAGGTGTCTCCCCTACAGCACCCCGAGCGAGAGGGATCCCTTTGTCAGGACACGACCCCCGAGAGCTGGCCGGCCCTCTGCACCCCAAGGGAGCACCAAAACGCCACCGGGACCCCCTTCTCTGCCCACAGCGGACCCTTCCCACGCCCCCAGCACCACGCAGCTAGGCTGGATGAGGCGCACCCCCCCCACCTCCCCCCTCGGGCAGGGGAAGCTCCATCCAGGCAAGATAAGACCAACTCCCCCCCTCCCCGCCCCCCGCGCACGGGATGCCTCCGCCCGGGTCGGATGAGTCCCGCTCCTCCTGGGGTACGCGGGCAGGAGATGCTCCCACC